ATATAACGGGATTGGACACTTAACGATTAGCCTTGAGAATAAACGTCTAGAGGTGGCAATAGACGATCGACAATGTCCGGTGCGTTGTAGGTGCGGGATTATAGATAGAATAGAAAATAGTAGAAGCGAATCGTGTCCGCATCGAGTCCAGACCCGTATCTCGTAATGCTAAAGACACATACATGCGGTTCGTGGTCGGGTGCGGCGATGCGCTGCGTTCATTTCACGGCAGCGTTCACCAGATCGAAATAAACAAGGTTATGCATTTGACATAACACATACATGCTGATGCGGTGCGTTGCTATATTTCACCGCTGCGTTTCACCGGACCAAAAGTCCTATGAAACGCAGCTGTGCCGCAGGTGATTTCCATTATTTTCAGACGTCATTGTGAGGAAACCCCATTATTACAGAGTGGAAGCCGTCAACATGCCATGTTCAGTCAAATTTAACGCAAAAGTGAACTGCGCGTATGTGTCATAACTGTCGCAACGGTACCGCATAATCGCACCGGTTTACCGCAACGCAGGCATCGCACCCGCATTTATGTGTCTTCGGCTTAAGTTCACTAATTCTTTTTTCTATTGAGCGATCATTCCGCACCTACACCGCAACGGACATCATCTTTCCACCTTTACAAAATAATTCACCGAAAGATCCGAAATCAAGCTGCAATGGTGTTGAATGCTGTCTACTCAACAGACTTTTTCTACATATAGGCATTCAATGAAACATTTACATACAGAACACTATCAGAAAAAGCTTTATCAAAAAGGATCAATTAAACACGAATTTCTTTGAGGTCAAGAAAAGATTAAGAAAAAAGTCAGTAACAAAATCTTGTTTCTTTCATTGCCAGTGGAGATTTTTCTATTTTGTGTTATAAAATTAAGTAAAAGTATGTGTTTTTTTTTATAAACAAGTTAATTTAAAATGTAATTCAATTGTAACTAAAGTCATGCGATTTGTCCATTTTTATATAAAATGTCATCACCAATTATAGTCACAAATTGCATAGTTTAAGTACGTGAGTGATATAGGGTGCTGAGTGCTGACCCTCTGCATGAAATGAAACGGAGTTTTACGTCTTACTGCAGCCAGACGCATGTGATGGTGATGAAAAGTGGTAAAAGTTTCTAAGCAAGTAAAAAAAACATACACTATTTAAGACTTCCAGCTGAAGAATGTTATAATCAAAATGTTATATAAGTCTAAAATATGTTGTCAGTTTATACATCCCATATTGCGTATAATTCCATACGTGATCAAAAGATCTATAAAGACTCAATAAATTAATACTGGGACATATTATTTTTATTTACATATCAAAGCAATACCATATAACTAACGATGTGTCCCAGATGCCATATAAGGAATCAAAACTATACTGTCGTCTGCAAACTTAGTCATTCCTCACAGACATTGATGACGTATCGATGTGTAATACAGTTTTCTATTTTTCAAGTGTTGATCTCGGTCCCTTTTGGAACTGATTAGTCAGAAATTAATCATCGAATTCCTGACTGATGAGCATTTAGAATTCCATTCCATTGTGGTTGATTGTTTTAATGAGATACTTTGTCCGACACAAAAGAGTCACAGAAAGTGCTAACTGCCCGATACAAAATATTTCCCCACTTACCTTTAAAGCAGGCTGCTTAATCATATAACAGATGAAAAACCTGAATCAAACTCTTGAATTATTCCATTCAAAGGTTTAGAGCTGATGTGGGCAGTATTGTAATATGCCCACATGGAACAACCTTCTTCAAATATAATAGACTGGGTATCGAAATACTGAATTTGATAGTCCGAAACAGATTCATTAATGAAACCACGTTACAGTGTGAGTAAATGAATTGTTAATCTTCGCTGACCTGGACTAATCTTAATCACACACATTTTAATATTGATATTTTAGTGTTTAAACGACATTTAGAAGTAGAAAGTGCATATGGATTGATAATGAATTATGATTTACATAAATTATTTCCCCAACCATGTTCCTGAAAGTGATACTACGTCTTAGAATAAACATAAAATTTAAAAATTTTATACTTGGCCAATAAGAGCATATATTCATCAGTAGATATACCTGGTGTCATAAATAACATAACAGGATCCTCATATAATCCGATAAATCTAAAAAACTTAATAAAAATGCAATTAACTATTGAAAAACGCTTAATATTATGATTAAGCGTTTTTCACTAATTACTTAGTTTTATGAATTTTCCAATTTTCTAGATTTTACAGGGATTCTGTTGTAACTTTATGACACCAGGTAAGTTCACTGATGAATATTTACTCATATTGACCATTCTTGAGAATTACATTTTATGTTCATTCTAAGACGTAGTATCACTTTAAGCAACGTAACATGTTATGATCATTATATGATGTTACGTATTGCTAAAGGAACATGCACCAAAGCCTACTTCTATATTAGTGTAGAACTGTCTACTGCCATATTATATTTTTTGTTCACCTTATTCGTTGTTTACCATTGTCAAATGCAGAAATCTTGCGTTTCTGTAAAAGAATATATACTAAATATATTATTGCAACAATGGACACATTTTGCAACCTTTAAATCTTTCTAAAAATGTTTTTTTCACGCAGAATTGCCTACATCTGCGGAATATAGCGTATTTCTTTAGCATCGACTTGTTCAGGTATTGTCCTTTTTGGTGGACGGTGTGGAATTAGATAGGTCAAGTGGATAATAGAAAGGGTCAATCGTTTTGAAATCCGTCCATCATTCTTACATGTATATTTTCTACCGACTCGATATTCCTTTGCCGTACGCCGTCCTTATCTGCTCCTTATGTACATTATGTTATACTATAAGAATTTCTTAAGTTAATCTAAGATGATTCTGAAGACACTCTGATTATTTCCTGAAGGAAATACTCGTTGATCCTATCGTACCGCATCTGAAATGACACCTCCATAAAGTTAAGTCTTCCTGTTCGCTCTACAACTCAATTAAAGTCACTTATGCAAATCTGTCACGTTGGGTTTGGAGCTCATTGATCTGATTGTTTGCCATTTTGAAATATAACTCATATAAACCTAGTTAATTGTTGACAGTGCCCCATACCGTTTAATGAACCATGAACGATACTATCTTTGAATACCGAAAGTAGCCTTCGTGTCTGGTCTACCTTTTGGGAGAATCACTTTGTACTTTCCTCGTTGGACTTAATGGATAAACCATCGTCAGAACTTCACTTCCCCGATGTAGGCTAAGTAAGACGTTTATACAATTTTAACCCTTTAATAGAACAGATCAAGTTTATGGTTCATATAAATAGGACCACTTTAACCGTTCAGGAATACCTGACTACATACTGGGTCTCGTGATGACTTGTCGTCTGCTTACTGCGCAGTAAAATGATCAAGACACTATATTTAAATATCCGTATTTATTAAGGCGTAAATTTTATTTTGTAAATCTTCAGATAGCTATGTCGCTTTGACATTGACAGGTTTCCGCATTCTACAATTACAAGGCTGAAATATATGACTACTTAATCTTTTTACTTCTTCGATACATTCAAATAAATGAAAGCCTAAAAATTGTTGTGTCGTTTGCTATATACATATGCTACACTATTCGGGTGCTTTGATTCTGAATTCCTCGTAACGTAAAAAGAGGAATAACTTTAATTTCAGAATAAGGACTATACTGATTTTATGTTTTTTAGGGGGAGGTTATTGGAATATCTTTTATAACGCCTTGTTATTCTGTAATATTTAACATTAAATTTCTAAAACATTTGAGTATCAAAGAACGATATTCAAATTGCTTTGCTTAGACAATCTGAATTTTTGAAGTCTAGCAAATTTTGCTACAAGTGCTACGAAGGGACAGCTGTTGGAAGTATTGTGCAAGTTAGCAAGACTGATCTCTATATTGAAGAGATAGCACGTGCAGACATGGCTTAAATGACATTTTAAGTTTGTTACTATAAATAGTAGACTATAGACTCTAATCCGGATTTTGTCACGAGTCACGCGCGTATTGTTTAGCTGCCACTACGAAGCACGCGACCCAAATTAACCTGTGGGAAAGAGAAAGAAAAATAGAGAGAAGATTTCCAAAATATCAACTACTGAAAAACTGGTTATCACAAAAATATGAAATTTTCTGTAAAATCAGAGGTGTAGGAGGATATGTTTGGTAATTTTCATAAATTTTAGCAACATCTATTTATGTTTAGTGGGCAATTATATTTCTAGTTCGCAAATGTCAAAACCCTTTTAAAAGATTTTTCTCAATCGTGTAATTTGATTCCTGTGTCAGCCTTTCATCACCTGTTAAAAAAATGAAAAATGCCTTATTTTGAACCCTGTGGTTGAATTTGCCATTATTTCATTATTAGTGATGGGCTTTTGTTATTAAATGCTATTAAAATCAAAACACCTGGAACCTATAATATATTAAACTCCACAGCCCATGCCAAGTTACGACAATTAATGCAGAACACCTCATTAATAACACCCTAAAAATAACAAACATTATAATGGTAGCTTACTCATGATGATTTGACTATTTCACAATATTATGACAAACAGTCATTTACTATAGTTTCTAATATTCACGTATCGACCCAGCAACCCTTCACTCTACCGTAACTAAGCATTAGTCAGTTTATATAATGATGGGTTCTGATTCAGAATCGCCTTAAATGCTGCTTATACAAATGTCAAAAACAAGATAAAACTGGACAAAATTGGATAATTAGTATTCGATAAGTTGAATCGGACTATTTTGATTTGTTTATTTCTTGAACGCTAGTTTTCCAGTTAGCAATAGCCACGGTCACAAAGTCTTGTTTAGAAATGGAAATTTCCCTCAGCATTTCTACGTCGTGATAAATCAGACTATACAACAGAACGCGACGCTTGGTTGTGACGTCACTAGGTGAATTTGTATAGAACATTCTGTGAAGCGCGTGAAGGATCATAAACAATATTACAATAGTGCGAGTAAGATGGATTTATCAATTCTTGGAGAACGTGTTTTTCAGGCCGATTTCATCCGAAAGAAACGATATCGCAAGGTAAATGAAATTGGAACAGTTAGATTATACATTTTTTGTTGCAATCTCATAATTTTTTCCAAATGTCAACGTGTTTTATGTGGAATTTGAGCGATTTTGTATCGTGCGCACCACCGGTGATATAGATTTAAATGCCGACCGTGTGTTTGTTATTGTATAGATCTAATTCTCGTTGCTAACTTAAAGTCTAACTGACATTTTGGTTTCCATTTTTAATTGCAGGGTGGCAGAGAGTACCTGGTAAAATGGAAGGGATATTCTATCAAGTAAGTTGATATTCTTTATTACCATGACATACTTTGCTTCTTTGTTGACATCAGGTAAGTGCTGCTCAGTCATGTTGTGATGCATTGTGTTTGACGGGCAGCACTACATCAGTTTGTAATGGTACCTAGCGACACTGGAATCAAGTTGGATTTATCGCAGGGTAGCTTGATGTTGCGGTTCATGGATGTCAGGTAGAAGCATATGCTGGCCTCTAATTATCTGAAAAGTAGCTGGTTTTAGACAGGTATCAACAGGAAGCATAAGAAAAGGGGAAACATACAATTTGTTTGACAGCTTATATTATGTCCTCATATTACTTGACTTTCGTTTAGTCCAAACAACGTAATTTCTTAGGTCAGAGCATTATGACCCAAGAAGATGTCAGGACAGAGGGTACTTGGATTTGGTCAAACAACATCGAGAGAGTTGATTCATGCTATATAGCATAGTGGAAAAGGTTGTAGCAGCATAGCATTGACAAGGTGGAATTAAGCTAAATAATATTGATACAGGGAATATTGATACAAAGAATTCTCGCAATAGTATGTACATATGGAATCTAGTTCTGCTCATTAACAGAATATGGCTCAAGATTTCAGCATAAAGAGATTCACGACAGTGGACTGTATAACACAATGGCAAGTTAAAACGATTTGCAGCATAGCATAAATATCACAGCGGACGACGAGGATTCTATGCTTATAGTATAACCTGCCTAATTATTATTATAGATAAACTTAATATGTTGCACGTATTTAGTTAGAGGAAGTGATCTGTTATGACAAATAAACTATTAGTAATACATTTTGTTGATATTATGAAGTCTGGTTGCTATGTGATTAGTAATTGATGTATCATATACTAGTCATTCATGTCTGTCTCGTCTTATCTCACTGTCTCGAGAGCGCGACGGATTGTTGTGTAATCCGCTGTCAATTGAAACAATCCATGATCGATCCAGAGATTACGTGTGTCCACAGAGTATTCATCCGAGTGGAACCAGTATCAGTAATGTTCCACAAGTCCCCTGATCGTGTATTTTTCAGACTATCAGACTGGTTTTGACGAGTAAATATTGCTTTCATATTACGTAATTGGTTGCTACAAATGAAACGTTACACAAACTTCTGCTATAGGATACAACTTTAGTGGATTAATACTTATAGGCTAAGGGGAAAGTGATAAAATTGGCTTATTCTGTCATAAACTAATTCTTTAAAATTATAATAGTATAATGTTATGACTTTTGGATATGAAATAACATATTTAAGGTTGATAACAGTTTCTTTAGCAATGTATTAAAGATATTTATAGCCTGATAAAGACAGCTATTTAAACTGTTGAAATTGACCTTATTTATTTGAATATAAACGCCTTTTACTTATATAACACTGTAATGATAGTTTGATGTCTACAGTGACGTCCGCGTTAGAAAGTTTGGGTAGTTTAGTGATAGATTGGATTTTAGATCTCAGAAAAAAAACCCCCTCGTATCTAGATCGAATCACAATTATGACTTTGTAATGTTATTGTGAGACTGTTGAATACTTTCATTATTAACTATGTGGACATCGGATGTTTGAGAGTGACTTGTATTGCTTTTGTTTTAGAAAGTCCTGTAATTACCATCAGTTATGCATCTAAATATCATGCATCTGATAAGCCAACAAACGGGAATAAAATCTTTATAATCATTTCAGCCATATTGTTGCAATGATATTCAGCCTTGAACTTCGTTAAGTGCATATAAGGAACTAGAAAGTCAAATTTGAAGACAAAAATCAAAAAAAGAACATGACAAATGAGACTCAAGTGTAATTAAAGCTGTCAGTATAATATTGTTTTAAACGCCGAGGCCGATTGTCCTAAAGACAAACGCTGAATCGTCAGATTAAATGGCTGAGGCCCTGATAAACGTAGGTGTTAGCTAGTAAATGTGAAAGTTATATTGATGTGATATTGGGATGATTATTGATTGTTTCTCTAACATGTGCCTACGCATATTTACTTATCTATATTCAACAGTTCATAGTTTTACTTTATGTATTTAGTATATATTGTATATATAAGGTCTGATAAATCAATTGTTATTATCAAAAGGTGTACCATATTAGCTCTTGCAGATTTTTTTTACAAATATCGTTTGCACCATGTAATTTAGGAAAAATCACAGATAACGGTCTGTTTAAGAGCTTCTTTCGTACCATCTATATTGTCACTGTTAAAATATTACCCAATACATCAATTGTAGAGCATGTATACGGGTATATAAAGAGTTGGTATTTTGCAAACGATTCTTGGATTGATGACCTTGAATTTGGCAGGTAGGTCAATGGAATGAAGGATAGTATAATAATGATTAGGGCAGGCCTTTTCAGGCATCATTTTAATAAAATGTTTGCAGGTACATGTGTATTAACAAACTGGACATATGATTCGAACCTTGTGTGTGGTATCTAGTATATAAAAGGTTTCTGACAGTCCTTAAATTTTGATTTCACAAATTTCAGAATTATCAGTATTCCGGTGTTGAAGAGAAAGTGTTCAATATCAGACGTATCTTGAAACCTCAGGCAATATATCTATATATCATGTCATTTTAATTCGAATATATTTGATAAATCTAACGTTGGGTGTGTCAAAACAAGCAACCGTATATTATTGATATGATTGCACCTTTGAGATTCTGTGTTTAAATTTGAGACGGAAATTATCACAAAGATCATCGTCATCGTCATTGCAATAAGTTGCAAATACAGTATTTGTTCATAATAAAGTTAAAGGTGGTCAATGTCCATGTCCCCATCTTGTCATTCCAAGATCAACGGTCAGTGTTCTTTATGCGTACTTAACAGATTGACCAATTCCAGTACATGTTATTTTAGATATATTTATGTCTTCAAACGTGGAAACAAGTGCTTGTGTGATTATAAATCTTACAATAGAATCATAATAATAAGATAAGATGTAGACGAACCGGATTTCAGACCTTCTAAACAGGATATAAGTTAAATTCTACGCCGTTTACAACATGTATTTAATACATATAAGATATTATAAGTAGATCTATTAATAAATACGTTCTAAAGAGAGTATCGGATATATCAAATGCAATAAATACTCATTTCAGTCTTAAGATCATATTATCAGACCTTCATGCAACCTTTGTAAGCGGCTCACGTTTTAAAACAAATCATAAAAAACGATCTTATGAGCTCAGTCGGTCTGTAGAAAGGAAAGCATCAGATACATTGTTTGAATTGTTAGGGGTGGGAATGTATGTCAGTATTAATCTACACATTAATTTTCAACGTTTATCCCCAATTTATGTTATTCCAATCTGGTTAAAATACAGATAAGATAAAGGATTCGTTTCGTGTGCATTCTGTGGGTTACTAAACTTGGTTTCTAATAATATAATAATAATCTGACGACATTTATATCTAAAGCTGTAAGAGAAGTACAAGCTATACAATTGTCCCCGATATAAATACACATGTTAGAATAAGTCTTTTGAATACATATAACTTTTTAAACGTATTGTGTTGTATTAAATGTATTGTATTACTTTGAATTTCACACTTGAATAACTAGAAAAAACAATAATTTAGTATTTTACTTGTTTCTTGTATTCGTCTAGTCATGTTATTCGATCATTTCAAGTACATTGTTCGCTTTTCTACATGCATTCATTTATGTACTGTTGGTGATACGTTGATCTTGATGCTTATTTAGCGATTTCATTTAATTTTGTTTTATTCATTCATTTTGGGTGTTTCCTTAATATGTAATTATATCTAAATCTATACATCCGGGTTCAGTCTTTTTCTATAGATATAAAGATATTATGTGTAATTTGTTCTTCATCCAAGTTAATTATTATTACTTTGAAATGCCCCCTGTGTTGACTATTTCCATATCAATTTATGTTTGAAGGTCGTTGGAGAGAAATTCGGTGAGATGTGATCGATTGAAATTATTGTCCTGCCGCTGATAGTAGCTCATAAAAACAAGTCAAGAATATATCAGTTAATTGTTTATAGCGATTCAAGGTTAATTGTTCTGTAGTTTCAGTTTTCTAATAATACAAAAAATGTTTCATTGGGAAGGTTCTATACAAAAACACGGTTTGACTAAATTTTGCATTTAATTAATTGAAGGAGATATTTGTATAAAATATTTGTGTTTGAACGTATTGAACTGATAAGTATACTATTGTTTCAATCTTTTGCATATAATTTACTTTCGTAAATATATATATTGTTATTAATGAATAACAACAGCGTACTTTTGCTCTACATACTTCATGACACAGATAAACAATGAGTGCAAGAAACAGAAAGAGGCAAAGAACTTAGTCACATCTATATGATCTTGTATGATAGCTGTATGCTTCATATCTAATTATTGGAAATACAAAAAACAGACCTTTACAGCTAGTCAACACAAGCAAAATCTAAAGCTTTTAAGGGGGTAATCGATACCAGTATATGAATCCCGAATTACAGCTGTTTTAATTACATCGTTTCGTATCATGTCAATTGAGTTTTGTTCAGTCAGATATTTGTGTTATCAGGTATCTTGAAACATGACTAATTAAAAAATCAAAGAAACAGATCTACTTAAATGCTGTAGTTTGGATTAAATTATTTCTTCTCTGTTTCAGGCATTGTACATGGGAACCAGAAACAAACATTCTTGATCCCTTGTTGATAGCTGAATATAATGAAAAGTAAGTATTTAAAGAACATGAATTTAATATTATACAATGTAATTAGTTTCAGTACCTTATAGGTTAATAATGAACAATACATGAATCCAAACTTCTCAATTTGTAAGTGACCTCTGAAAGTTACTATTTCGTAAGATCAGCAAATTTCTGATAAAGTAATGCTATGCGTCTTAAACTAACCGACCAACAAGTTCTTGCACTATCAAATTTAATACTTTAATGTGGGTAGAATTTTATGACCTATGAAGATTATATCATTACATTTAAATTATATATATAGTTCAATTTATTTAACATCTCACAGATGTTTGTTTAATTGCCATTCTTATGACAGTAGGTTGGGAAAGTTTGGTGCCCAAATTAATGAATAATACTGACCGAATCTAGAGATATGTGTCCCGAAGCTTATTTGACCAAAAATGCGTAAAGATTTACGATAACTTACGTGAAAGTCTTTTTGGTTGTTGTTGGATAAGTAAAGTAAAGGACAAATTGTTTAATAATAAAATTATGCATACTGTCCCTTCTTTCCAAACCATGAAAACTGTATTAAAATCTACTCGATTTTCTTCCTTGATAATTGTTGATATACAGACCTTATATTTCATTTCGGTGCAACAAACTATAAATGTTCAGAGAAAGAGAAATAAAAATGAAACGAAATTATTTATAGAGCTATATTGCGATACGATTGCAGTGTCCTTTGCTTTTACATAGAAACATAAATATAAGCATGTCTTGTCTCCACTTTGGGTAAAAAAGCTTTCCTTGTTCCGTCTTGAGATGATATGAAGTTTTATGTTTGAAAAGGAAGTGCAAAATGATTTTTCATCATATATTTACCCACTTACTATGTCGTCTCGTGTATGAAAAAATAATATGTATTGAGAGAAGACAATTGAGTCTTGTCGTAAATCTTCTGTAGGTTTCAAAACGCCCACACCTTCATTTTCTCTATATGTTATTTTTATTATTAAGTCTTTGTAAAGAATTTTAATGATAATAGAAGTTAAATTAGGTTTTCTTGGCCTCCATAGACGGATGAGGGTGGGGGGGGGGGGGGTGCATGACTTATTATGTGTCTGTGATTGGCAGCTTTTTATACCCCCTTTTCTCTGGCCCTTTAAAGTCTTCATGAGAGTTTTTTTCTACGATTCATTGTGAGTTTCTGTCAAAAATATTGACTGTACCCCTTCCACGTGAGAATTAATTTTTTGTTAGCACTGTCCTTACTTTCATGCGATCAACTCAACACCCGTTCTAGAATCAGATGGGCAGTTCATAATATCACGTCTTGACAATTGAGTCTTGTCGTAAATCTTCTGTAGGTTTCAAAACGCCCACACCTTCATTTTCTCTATATGTTATTTTTATTATTAAGTCTTTGTAATGAATTTTAATGATAATAGTATTTAAATTAGGTTTTCTTGGCCTCCATAGACGGATGGCGGAGGGGGTGGGGGTGGGGGGAGGGGGGTTGGCATGACATATTATGTGTCTGTGATTGGCAGCTTTTTATACCCCCTTTTCTCTGGCCCTTTAAAGTCTTCATGAGAGTTTTTTTCTACGATTCTTTGTGAGTTTCTGTCAAAAATATTGTCAGTACCCCTTCCACGTGAGAATTAATTTTTTGTTAGCACTGTCCTTACTTTCATGCGATCAACTCAACACCCGTTCTAGATTCAGATGGGCAGTTAATAAAATCACGTGATCATATATATAGATATATATACAAAATTTTAATTTGTACAGGTTTTTCCCGTAAGTTGTAAACGTTGCTCCCTGTTCAGAAATAAACTTGGTATTTAACAGTATATAATAGAGATTCATAAAGTGTATTGATTTTTAAATACTATAATACGCTCTGGTTGGTCTATTGTATTAATTCATTTTATGATTATTTCATAAGTAGCTTGTTATATGTCGAAATACGCCTTAACTTAAGTAAGTCATATCGGTGTCAATATCAGTTTAATAACTCGAACATATCTAAATCCCCCATCAGCTCCTGTATTGATCCATCGGCAGTTTGTTGATGAAAGAGAGATTGATTAAAGATGGGTTTCCTTAATTTTTTAGCGTTAAATTAAGCAAACAATTTGATTAATTGGTGTTTCGAATGAATTATCGTGTATTCTTAATCATATCATTATGTTCTTATTGCATATAAATAAAATTTATAACCAGTCATAAATGTCCATGTATGTACAGTCTGGATAAACAAAACAGAGTATTGAACTTTCTTGATCGGTCGCTCAATGGAATTCTGCTGGTAATTCTCTTCTAATTTAGCTAATTATGAATTAATTATTAGTATTTTCATATTAATACTACGCGCTTTAAGTGTTGAACTTTTGTTTCAACCAATTACCAATTAGTATATCATTCAGAATTCCTGTTTTTATTGCAGGAGAGCAGAATGGATTGTTGCTCGAAGACGAAGTCGATTACTGAAGAGGCGTCAGAGTCAGGTAACATTTTACGTTCAGTAAGAATTTAACATTGTGTGAAATTAACATAACGACTGATTTTAGGACATGAATACAGAATTCGTATGGCTAATTCGTTACCTATTCAGCTACATGGGTTTTCAAGTCCCAGAAATTCAGTTATTGAGATTTTAGTATCGGTATTCCCTTTAATGCTTGCACCATTCATAACAAAGGAAATGTTCCAATTAGTAATCCAAGAGTAATTGGCTAGTTATCCTACCAATATTATCACTTCACAATAAAGTTGATAACAAATTCATATATATGATATCTCACTTTCGCCATTTCTAACCGCCCTGTGAATAATAACATCAATAATCTGAGTGTTCAATGATTATCTATTGCAGATGACAGATAGTTCGAATTCCAGCGATACAGCAGAAGACAGCGATGCAAGTTCCAGTGCGAAAAGTCCACTGTTTGATGATGACACCTCTGAACACAGATCGTCTATATCGCCATCCATGTGGCCATGTTTTACTCAAGGATCAAAATATAATGATTCACTTCTGCCACTTGAGCACCTAAGTCGTGAGGAAAATCGCCATTTTGAATCGAAACCTGCATTCAACTTTGATTTTACAACTAATCCAAAGTCTTATACTGTAACATCCTCTGAAGCAGCACCCGAAGACAAAATCGTTCCGTGTACGTTGACCTCCTCGGATATCAAAGATAATATAATCACTTCGGACATTCAACTGAAAACTGAACCGGAAAAAAACAATTATGAATCAGAAGTAAAAAAGGTTAAATATGACGAACCGGAAAAATCTGATACAAAAACATACATTACACCGGAGACATCCTGTGATGCAATCTGCGACAAAGATCAGAAGGGCAAAAAAGAAAGAAAGAAGGCGAAAAAGAAATTGAAATCAGTCTGTAAGAAAAAATTGTGGTATCCGTTCACAGGAGAATCTCCGTACAAAGTCTACGTTACCGATGTGGATATTAACTGCGTTAATGTGACTTTTGTTGAGAGCTCTACGAAACGTGGCTTCTTTGACTAAATATCAAAAGTGACAAATAGCCTAACTCTGGTTTTAGTATGGGTTAAACACATAGAGAGACCGATATTGTTACAAAGAAATGTACTGTAACGCGAGATTCAGACCTTTGGTAACTTTGGTCAAATCTATTTGTTTGGTGAGAGCGACCTCAAATGACCTTGGAAGAATTTCACATGAACGATTTAAATCGTCTGGTTCTTTATAAGACTGGACATAAAAGAGTTTGAATAAATAGAAAATTGTCGTCTATTTGTTAGGACTGGATTGTTCGAAACAAGTTAGTGTTTGGTTGGGACATTTTCTGGACGTCAAATATTGACAGGGCTGTGTTTGTGTGGGTCAGCCGGGATTTCACAAGGAAATGTATTTGTTATTCTTTGTTTGAGAAGGAACAGGCGGATTACAATTTGGCCTGATGACCTAGATCTTTATCTGACCACAGCTACAGACAATTGTATTAAATATGCTTTTTGAGATCTGACAACATGTTCATTGAATTTGTGAAAACAGATCCATTGTACATCAGAATACAGGTCCATTGTATATCTGAAATTAGGTTCATTGTACATCTGAAAACAGGTCCATTGTACAACTGGAAACAGGTTCATTGTACATCTGAAAACAGGCTCATTGTACAACTGGAAACAGGTCCATTGTACAACTGGAAACAGGTCCATTGTAAATAGGCTAAGAGTGCATCTGAAAATAGGCCCAGTGTACATCTGGAAACAGGTTCATTGTACAGCTGAAAACAGGTCTGTGTTCAATGTTAATATTTACATCTTGTATCACGGGCCTGATTATTTGTAGACGTTATTGCATGCCATTACGACCTTCTCTTTAGAAATGGAGTTTTTTTATAACATTTTTGAGAACTGGTATATCACCAGCATGGAGACAGAATTTCATTCTAATTTGTTACTTTGTTGTTTAAATTTTACAGTGCTAAAAATTTCCGTGTTTTTGGGAAATTCAAACTTGTGATATATTCTTTTTATGATCTTCTTCCAGAATATCAATATTGAAATCTGATTGGATTGAATACTGATTTCTGATTGGTTTATTATGACATTTTTGAAACTTCAACAACTTGTTTTATATTATGAATTATATTTATATAAGAAAAAAATATTGAAAATGTATTTGTTTGCACTGATAATTTTATATTCTATTTTTTTGGAACAGTCTTTAAAATCAATATTTTGAACTTGCACATACATGTGTATTACGCATATTGACGACTTAACATATCTTGTTTATTAGCATAAATGGTTTGGTCATTAATTCACACTTATTTGTAGATGGATTTTTTTTGTTCCAATTTGAATTCACGAAGACACACATTATGTTTTGATCTTTATTTTGCACAATTTTTAACTTATCATTATTATCACCGGTAATCAGTAGTTGTTTGTGTTTTCTTATTTATCATAAAATGTTAATGGGGCCAAACAAATTCAGAATTTTGAATTTTTACCTTCGAATAATCCTGCATACTC